AATTAGTTCTAGCCAATCAGAGGAGCGAACGATGGTTTTCACACGTGAAAAAAATGATACGTCCAATCAGAATCGCGAACGATGTTTTTTCACGTGTGAGAAAAATGATACGTCCAATCAGAGGCCACAGAGGTGTGTGAGTTTCGCGCCAAAATTCCCGCCTTTTATTGCAGCTTGCAGCGCCGCTTCGCACACATTCAACGAGAAAAGTTTTACTCAAAGAGTTTTTCTCGCTACAAAAGTGAAAAACATTTCGGAAATGGAGTGGAATAGTTTCGTTTGTTTCACTGTCGATAAAGAAAACTGCAGAGAGCCGGCGAAACAACAGCGGAAAGGGAAAACAGAACGAGACGTAAGCTTTTGTTGTGCTTTTTGTCGGAGCTACTTTGCCTTTCATTTAAGCTTAAGCTTATATTGAAACCGGCCATTTTATTTAAATTCACTCATTTTCAATTGTGCATTGACAACAAACAGTTAAGATTACTTATAGTTCTTGGATTACCTCATATCCTTAACGTCATTTAAGTTTTTAACAAACGTTTTTACTAAAAAGCTGATACTTCGTTTTCGTTGTCATTTTGCGGCAAGTGTGTAGCGGCAAATAAGCATTTTTGAAAGATTTAAAATAAAAAGGCCGCCAAAATGATGAATGTCTCGGTATGTATATAATAAACACAATACCACATGGAAAGTGCTTTGTACGATATTTACGCACTCGTTGTTTTTGTATCAGAAATCTTACTCGTTCGCTGCGCTCACTCGTTCGATTTCTGATACGTCAACAACTCGTGCGTAAATACCGTACGCCAGCACTTTCCATGAAGTATTCTCTATTTATTTTGAAATATGATAGTAATTAAAAACCCGTAACAGCGAACTACTCCCATTGACCCGAATCGAGTCCAATTTATCAAGCCGTAGTGCAGCCATAAAAAATTTCTACACCGAGATCAATGGGCCATTTGCACGATGACGTCTTTTTACTACTAAGACCAGAATTCATTTCGTTTTTCCTTTCATATTTAAATTTGGTAGTCCTAGTGAGGTTTTATTAAAACAAAGCCTTAATTTGCACAAGAAAACAATACCCTGAAGGATTCCGGTCGTAGTAGTAAAATGACGCCATCGTGCAAATGGCCTATTACTGAGCGAAACAAATTTCTTACTATGTGGCCTTGCTCACGTATCGTTCAAAATGTCAGGCTTGGACACCAGTTTATGATGTTTCAAAACGAGATATGAAACCGAGTATTTTAGACTTCGTGAGACATTAACTGAGATTTTATTGGAAGTAGCCTGTGAACAGGCCTTGAAAGAAACTAGAAAAGCATTCCCCTGGTCGCTTTCATTCTTTCCACTGATGCTTACGCTGTTATCAAAATATGAGTTATCCCTTTAGTATCTGATATCTGTCCCTGGACCACAGGTGCCCGTACAATCTAGGTGTAACTGTTTGTAATTTGTTTCGCCACGAAACACGTAGGCGTTCTTACGAACTCGTTTAAACGTGTCTGTGAGGTGCTGATCGAATTGAAATTTGGAAGTGTTGGTTCTTGCCGGGAGAGGGGAAAACTGGAGTATCTGAAAAAAAGACCTCTCGGAGCAAGGGAGAGAACCAATATAAGGCATCGACTCCAGGATTTGAATGCGGGCCACATTGCTTGGACTGTTGGAGGTGAACTCGTGCTCTCACCAATGCGACAGCCTTGCTCCCTTAAAACTTACCTTGAAGGCTCCAGTTTTTTGGAAGAGTTCGCATTTGAAATGAAGCATCCTTCCAGCCATGCTGTCAAGAGTTGAACAGGTCATTACGGGCGTCCTTTTTATGTACTGTGCGATTCTATGGGCTGCATCTAGCACTTTATCCAAGTCCACCTCAATATCACTGGACGCCATCCTTTAATTTGAGTTGGGCATTCAAAATTTATTCGAATTTTTGAACGCTCTTGTACGCCATCGATATCAATCAATCCTTGATTTAAGTATACAAAGGGGTGATTCGCACAGAGCTTGGAATTTTGCGCTCTATGAAAGCCAGGGTTAAACGCCAAGGATCGCAGAGGTGCGCACTGACAAGATCATCCGCTACATAGAGATATACATGTATACGATATCATTTGCCTTCATTTGCATTCATCCATTTTCATTGTTAAGCAAGAAAAATTTGAAGAGATGAAAAATCTTCGTAGTGCGCATGTTTTGACTGAAAATTGTTATTACAAGATTCTTCAGCTTGAAAAGTATTAATATGTGAAGGAAAATATCATTAAAAAAATTTGACTCATTTTACTTGCTGTTCCACTCCTTGGTATCGATACCGACCAAATGACATCCTCCTGAAATGAGAAAATGACTTGCTACCAATTCAGTGTCTTTGTTTCTGTCACATCAGTCAGTTGTGCTGTTTGCTACGCTACCGATGCATATTTGAAGTGAAGTTGTTTTAAGCGTTCTTGCCGATTATCTTAGTAACTTATTTCACTACCCATAGTTTAGCTTATAAGTCTATTCGATGATCGATAGAAAGTTTTTCCTGACATGAATTCGGAACAAGGAATATGTCCCATTTTGGTGCATCTCTGCAGTAACACCTCTCTTGCTATTTAAGTATTTTCAATTAAATTAGACTTTTTGTAAGTAGAAACCTATAAAAATTGTTATAAATTCTGCTCTCCGAGTTTTCCCATCACCGCTGTAGTTAATTTATGGAAACGTTTTAGCCAATCATTCTTCGACAAAAGGCTTCATACCTCTACGAGATCGGCAACATGCCAGGATTTTCAGAATGCATTCTCGGTTTTCACTCACATGAGAAAGCAGAAATAAAAATGGAAATCTTTTAATACAGAAAGTCTAGAATCTGGGAAATGAAGATACATATTCAAAAAGCCTTGCCAATAATCAGGTCGATGCAATAGTTCATATGCGAGATATTCGGAAAAACGTTTTACCCAAATTTATAAAGCTTTGTATGGAGACGCCATGTTTGTGTCCCTTTCAGGGGTACAAATATGGCCGACGGAAACCAACAGAAACATCTGTTTTTGAGTTTTCCTACTCATGTGTGAATTCTTCGCTTGAGGAACTCATAAAGATTGAAGTAATATTTTTTCTAAGACAAGGAATGTTTAGATAGCAAAATGTCCAAAACTCCGTGATGTTTTTAACCCACATAAGAGCTTTCCCGGCCGCCAGCTAAATGCCGCGTCACGCAAAAGCCTGAAAATTCAAGAGTCCTGTATCGCAAAACAAAGAACCCTTTTGAACCGAAAATTTTTTTGTATAAAGGTTTTATTTTTCCGTGAGATCGTCAAGATATAGCGCGTCTTACCATTAATGGCGGCCATCTTGATTTTCAAATGGACCTAGGAGGCGGCGTCGGGCATTATAGCTCCCCCCGCCCCCTAAGTAGTTTTGACACTCACGCAAGATGGCAGCCCGTAACACAAACCCGGGGCCCCGGGAACACAAAGCGCTCGACCTCGACGATCTTACGGTAAAATAGGGGACTGTGAACAGTCTATTCTAACTGAAATGCTGCACTGCACTTCTTCTCTTTGCCAAAATAATTAGTTTGATATCATATTTATTTCGGTCGGGAAAATTAAGTAAGCCATTTTTAAAACTTAAAGTAATTATATGAGGAAATATCGAACTCAGTTAAAAGGTAACTGGCTAGAGTTAGACATGTCAAGTTTATTTTCTGTTTGAGATAACACAAATAAAAAACAATAACGACATTCATTATAGAAATTTGCCTAAAAACTAGGAATGATATAATAGTTCATCTGTCAATAATAATAGTAATAATAACTTATGTGTTTTCTGAAACCGTGTATATACCGCGAAAAAATATACTCTCTTGCGAGGATCTCAAACTTTCATAAAATCAAGACTTTTGTGTTCTCCAAACAGTTCGACATCTAACTCACTTTCATTTTTGGGTAGTTGAAAGCTGCTATTTTTTCCAGGGCAGATTTTCCAAATCTACATTTCCACCACACAGAATAATCCCAACATTCTTCAGATCTTCGGACGTAAGGGCTTGAAATTTCTCTGTTAATACTGCTGCCACGCCTACAGCAGCAGACGACTCAATCATTAGTTTCATTCGTTCCCAGACCAGCCTCCATGCAGAGATTATTTCTTCCTCCGTTACGGTTATGACGTCAGTCACGTTGTCTCGTATGATGGGCCAAGTTTTTTTGCCCAAGCCGATCCTAAGGCCATCAGCAATAGTGTTGGGAGAAGCTGAGAGGAACAAGGAAATAGCTGTTTAGAACTTCGTCCGCATCAATTCGTTTTCCAATTTGAGAACATGACACATTTTCCCGCTTTTTTGAGGCGAGCGAAGGCTAGCGCTAGGCGGGACGTGGAAGGCGAGACACGCGAGGCGGAGGACGTCCCGCATATATTTCTATCGCGGTTTACCCCACCGCACTTATCTCCCTTCCCATCCCCGCGGCGTGCTGTAAGCACGCCACGTGCTTGCCTTTTCTCCTTGACAAACGCAAAAAATAACGCCTGTTTTGCACGCATACAGGTTACGAAAAAGGGATTATTGCTAACGGATGTCTGTCCTTTGAGAACCTGTTTACACTGTACTACGTCAGATAAATTTTAAACCGCGACTTTATTCTTACGGTTAGGCCGACCGTTCATACAAATCCAAGCTGGAACTTTCCGAAAACACTCTTTGAAGTGGATATATTTGAAAACGCAACTTTGTGTTTAGTGTGGACATGACAACAATATTCAAGTGGGGGTTAATTATGTTCATCATTGTAATCATTGTATTCCACAATTTTGAAACCATAAATCGACAGCAGCACCCAAAGAAAGTTGTGTCCGATAGACCGGGGTTAGTGGATTTTACTATCAGGCTAGTGAATTCTTTTCTTAAATTGCCCATTGGGAAAGTTAATTTTGGGGTGGAATTCAAATTATATAAGAACTGTAAGCAATCCTGCTCATCAAAAAGTTCTTGTGGGCTACTTGAAATGACTTTTGGGCTAATACATGTTAGCTACATGCAGCTTGTCCGAATGGCAAGCTATTAACTGACTATCTTTGCACCCTGGAAAGGTCCTTAGATTGTAATAACTCCCCTCCACTTCTCATACACTTCTTCCCCTCCATATTTTACCAACTTTCACAACTATACATACCGGTAATAATAGCATTTTTTCGCAGTTCAGTTGAATGGATTTCAAAAAGCGCTCAACGCTAATTCAGGAGATGACCAAAGATAAATCCATTGCATGTAGATCAGACTGCAGAAGATATTCTTTCGTTTAATGCAACAGTTCTGTTTCGTATGGTCAAACGATTACCACACTCATCGGGCAATTTATTTGAACCAATGACCCGTACATTTCAAAACTTGCGGTTATAAGCATTTAACACTGTTGCTTTGTACATGAAGGCACATTTTCAACTTACTTGTAAGAGGAATCCTCTCTTTTGCAACAAAGGACCTTGCACAGTCATCTGCATTTAAAGGCTCAGCAGCATAGATCTTGATATCAGGCTTTATTGCTTTGGCTGCGATACAAATCCCACTGAGCATTCCACCACCGCCGACAGGAACCACAATTGCATCCAAGTCTGGGACCTGTGGACAAAATACAAATACATGTAAGAATGACTAGCAACAGGAAGACTTGATGCTGCATAAGGATTCTTAGTTCAGTTTTGGTCTTGACTTTATCACAGTGCATCAACATACATCACCAGTAAGCTACGAAACCACGATGGTAGACTGCGAGCAGTCTCTCTTTCCTTCAGATTTAGTAAGGGGAGTGCACGCGCGCGCGAGCGCCGAAGTCGCAAGAAGCGCGAAACGAGGGCGGTAGCCCGAGAAGAAAGAGAGTGCCTCTCCCGTCTCGCGCCATCAGTCACGCGCGTGACCATTTGCGTGTCTCGCGTTTTGCTCGACGGACTACAGGAAAAAGAGAGACTGCTCGTAGTCCACCACGATGGAGACAAAATCAATAAATGATGTTGGTCAACGCGAGTACTTAATTTCGCGATTCAGGCGAGAAAGTATTTCGCGGGGTTTTGTTTTCGCGATTTTAAATATGAAGCAAGGGCATTAAATTTTGCGAATTAAGCGTTCTCAACTTCATTTTGATGTTTTTAAAAAGTCTAAACCTTTTATTAGATAGACTAGAACAAGCAATGTGTGAAATCTTTGCAAATTAACATTATTTCATAATTGAAGACACAAAATGGAGTTTACCAGCGAAACCAGTTCGCAATATAATTATCCTGTATATGATGTTGCTATTAACAATTATTCCACGAGCCCGAATGGGCTCTGAGTCAATAGCCCATGAGGTCGTAGGCCGAATGGGCTATTGACTCAGAGGCCATGAGGGCGAGAGGAATAATTGTTTTAGTAAAATCCAATTAGTTGGTCAAAAATATCGAGAATAAAAAATTCTAGCTAGGTAAAAGCTAGACTTAAATCCTTTTTTGACGCTAAAAAGCCCGCGCTTTTCGCTACTAGTGGGCTATAACATATAGCCTAGTAGTAGCTAGCTCAACCAATCAGAGCACAGCATTGATAATAGACCACTAGTTGGACTTTACTAATACAGTCATGTTACCTGCGATTTGAAATTTCTATATGGGTATTATTTCTCGAGGATTTACTTTCACGGGTCTTAAATTTTGCGATTTTTTTTACAACCCCCCAAAACGCGAAATTAAGTTCCAATAAGGTATATAGATATATAAAAAAGCTAGCTACCTGCTCCAGAAATTCAACAGCAATTGAACCCTGGCCTGCTATAATGTGAGGGTGATCAGATGAGGGAATAAGATATGCATGTGGGCCATGGTCTGCAATGAGTTTCTTGGTAGCTGCATCTCTTGCCTGATATAGATACAAATCATTACTTGAAAAAACACCAACAACAAATCGTTATACTTTGATTTTTATCACAAATGGGAAGCAAAAACACGGTGGACATTTTAAATAAGCCATACATGGCCATGCTTTTAATTCTGTGCCTTCAAAATAATCTTCTTCCCTAAATATTGTTATTAGAAAGACTTGAATTTATCAGGACTATAGAATGTGTGGTTCCAGGCTCTTCCTAAGGGGAGAGGGTCCTAAAAGCAAACCTTTGAAAAAGACAATAGGAACCTTAACCATGGAATTTTCAGAGGGGTGGGGGTGGGGGCTCAAACAAAAAATTTTCCATGAGAGGGGTATGGATATTATCTAGACAAACACAACAGGGCCATTTATACGAGGGAAAATAAGACGCGAACTGTACCATTTATACAAGCATGTCTTATCTAAAACGAGAACAGCTCATGTAAATGGTTTGCGTCTTATTTCTGTTCTTGACTCGTTTTCATGTGAATGTTGCCCGTAGCAACGTCAATCCAACGTGGCGCGCCAAAAATTAATGCATGCGTACTATGGGTTCGCGTGTTATGTAAGACGCAAAGGTCATTTATACGAAGTTTCTCTTGTCTTAGCTAAGACGCGTCTTATCTAACAACAGATGTTAAGGGCTGTTCTAAAATAAGACGTGTCTTAGCTAAGCCACGTCTTATTTTAGACGAAATGTGCTGTTTATACGGAAAGTTCGCCTCTTATTTAAGATGCGTCCTATGTAAGACGCATCTTATTTTTCCTCATATAAATGGCCCTAATGTTCTACAGTGGAAACTTGATATGAGGAACGGCCAAGGGACTGGCAAAATTAGTTTTCTGTAACGAGGTAATTCATTATAACAAGGTTCTATTACTGGGGTAAAGAAAATCATTCGTTATACAGAGGACTCTGTTGTATAGAGGTTCGTTATGTCAAGGTTTCACTGTACCAGTGAATGATAGAGGAACTTTGTGTACTGGAGCAAAATGAATACTGCTTGGTGAAAGATTGTTATCGGCTGTCCAGGGATTAAAAACATGGTTTTGTTCATCAACCAACCAAGGGCAACTCTAGCAACCTGACCATTTTAAACTGACACAGAAAGAAAGAACAGTCAGACATTCTCTTATTGAAATTGTATTTATACATGAAGATTGCAACAGTGACATAAAGTAAAATCTTGGTATCTTCAAAGTACAGCTGTAGCTGATGTACAGTATATATCAACCTCTATCATATTACTTCACCATTAATACAATATTTTTATATACCGCTGAACTGAAAGTTCAGTAGATATGTGAATCTGTTTGCAATGATTTAAAACTTATCATTTCAAGACACAGGATATAAACGAGGACATATGTTACAGGTTAAATCAAAATTAACCTGAAATCAAATTTGCCTGACCTTTAATATATATACAGAGCTCTACTTTTAGCCTATTGGGTTAAATTTACAGATTATGTCTTAAATACCTCATAGGCATTAGGGCCACAATCAATAATAGTTGCTCCATATCCGCTAACAGCATCTTTCTTTACTTGAGGTGCATTGGATGGCATTGCGATGTAAGCATCAAGTCCCATTTTCTTTGCAGTTAGTGCAAGGGCTTGTGCATGATTGCCACTGCTTGCAGTGACAAGTATAGGTTTCTGATTCCCTGGCAGTGAATTCATTAATTGAAGAACAGCATTTGTTGCACCTCTGATCTAAAAAATTAAATGGTAAAATAATGTGATTAATTCTGTAAATACCCAGTCCTGCCAACCCCTTATAAAGGAAAATCTGGAGACTCGTGAAAAGAAACCTAGAGTGAGATTCTATTTTTTCCCGATTTATGGTCGTTGTTGTATAAACAAGATGCTGCTTTTGTTGATGATTCTACTGAGAGGTAATCACTAGTATGAAACTTATAGCAAGTAGTCATTTCTTCCAGACAAGCCAACTTTTCAAAGCCAAAAATGCCAGACAAAAAGTGCAGCCATCAAGGTTCAAAGAGGCACTTACATTCCTTATTAAATTTCCATAGTTTTCATCTCAGAATGATTTTTCTCCAAAAGCCGTGAGATTGTAAGTCTTGTTGTGAGGCCGTGAGAAAATTAAAAAAATTGTGAGACTCATGGCAGAATTGCAAGAGTTAGCAGGTCTGAAATACCGGTTAGGCAGTAATTCACCATTTTTACAAAGACCATTTTTTATGCACCTTGTTTATCCCCCACCACCACCCGCTCCCCCCCCCAAAAAAAAAAAATTTTCAGAACAACTGTCTTCAATTTCTCTTGGGATGACTGTAGTACCCAGGAGAGATTCGAAACAATGGTTATGCAAAATTTTGGGGGTAAAGAACGGGCATAATGATGGTACTAATCAAGCAAGGTCCATGATTTACGGACAAGAAATAAACAGGTTTGTTGACAATGGATAGAGGATCCATATGTTATGGCAGAACTTGTTATCACCACAAAGTAAAAGATGATGTTAACAGTAAAAGAACTTTGACAAGTTAAAAAGAGAAGTTCTCATTAAAACTTGCAGATTTCAGATTCATGTCTGTATGTGTATAATTTTGTGTGGGGATGAGCAGTCAATTCACACGTGAAGTAAGATCCAAGTAAGTAATACAATTTTTGTCTGCCCAGTTTTCTTAAATTAATATTATATAAGTCTTTGCAGCCATGTTATCCGTTCAAAGATTTTCCAATCTGGCCAATGCAATACCAAAAGGTCATTGTGAAAAATTCACTGCTGAATTCAGGAATGCAGATTTGAATTTGATACTACCTGCAGCAGCAACATACTAAAGTTGACTTCAGTTGAACTTCACTTTCTAGATCATTGTTTTCTAGCTTGAGATCACTTTCAATTTGTAGGTTGTCACTTTCTAGGTAGTTGTTCTCTAGGTCGTCATTTTCTAGGTTGTTGCTTTCTAGGTTGTCATTTTCTAGGTCGTAAAGTGGGGTTCCACCAAAACATATTTTGATCAGCACTGCTATAGCTTGTTTTGATGCGCTTTTTCTATTCCAGTTACCATAAAAATCAGAAAATAAGCCCCAGGGCTTATATTTTTCAAAGGCCCTTTTTGAGGGGCTTATTTTTGGAGTTACTTTTATTCGGAGGGACTTATCTACGGAGGGGAATTTGCGTTTCAAAACCGACTGGGTTAGTCTCATAGTTGGAAGTAAATTTACCATTTTTGCTTTGTTTTACTTTATATTTAAGGGCAAATTTCCAAGTACAAGCCCCTGGGGGGCTTATATTTGGAGGGGTGATTTAACGGAGGGTTTTTTGCATTACTGGATTGGGGGACTTATATTTGGAGGGGCTTATGCATGGAGGGGCTTATTTTCAGAATTTTACAGTATAAACCCACTCGTTTAAGCCCCTCCATTAATTATAAGCCCTAGCTCCTAAATACAGTGGATCCCTGTATCAACAGGGGGGCCACATTACCAGGGTGGGGTCAAATTACATGACTAAAGGGCCACAATGACAAATACACCATACATTGCATCCACACTTCTTGAACAACTGTTTTGTTTGTTAACAAACAACCTAGCATCCCACGCAGAAGTTCTTAGGGGTTCGTCACACATTCCTGCTCCACAAACGGAATGTAGATATTGCGTACAGTAATTGTAAAAACTGCATGACACTTTCCTTTTGTACATAAAACACTTTTAAAAATTAGTGGCAGTTGTCGTATCTGATATCTGTCTGTGGATCGGGACGTACATTCCATTTTTATTCCGATCCCACCCTATGGATGAGTATCCCTAGCAGACAACTTGTAGAAATCAGCTTTGAAAGGGACCAACAAAAAATGAGGGGGGTGGGAAAGGTTTTTTCACAGGGTTCCGACAAAACCGTGAGGTGGTAGAAATCTGCTCATCCATAGGGTGGGTGGGGGGAGGGGGGGTTCGGAAAAAAAAATGGAACATCCCATCAGACAAGTGCCAATACAATCAAGAACTAACCTTGAAGGATCCAGTTTTTTGGAAGAGTTCGCATTTGAAATGTAAAGATCTTCCAGCCATGCTGTCAAGAGTTGAACAGGTCATTACAGGCGTTCTATTTATGTACTGTGCGACTCTTTTGGCAGCTTCTTGCACTTCATCCAAGTCCACCTCAATATCACTGGACGCCATCCTTCATGAAATTTGAATTGAGAATTCAAAATCTTGAGGGTTTACCTCAAAGTAAAAACCTGTGGAGTTTTTCTTTGTTTTCTAGCTATTATTTTCCTTGGCCCTATTGAGTTAACTTCTCAGTGGCGACTTTCGTGAGTTTCACAGGTTTTTACACCGAGGATGAGCAAAAATTGATTAGAATTTTTGTATGCTATTGTAGGCCATCAATACCAACCTAGCCTTCATTCAGGCATTCAAATGGCGATTCGTTTGTTTACTGTACCTGCACACAGCTTAAAATTTCCTATGAAAGCCAAAGATCCTCGAAACGCCAACCAACTAGAACGCTAACCAACCAGAACAGACAAGAATAGGAAACGACTCTGTGACCCCCTTCCGCAATATCATTTTTATCGTGTCAGCGGTTGCTCGCATGATGTAATTCGAAGTGACCCGAGGTCGCCTTCGTGATGGAGGTCTAAAATTACAACGTAGCATTTGCAAAATACCTCTAATCCCGAGAAAGTAACTGAAAACGTGGTCCAGGAGCCCATGCGTGGTCTCTTTGCTCGAGGTCTAGAGAAATGCTTTAACGACTGGTTTTCTGTCTATTTTACAGCGCACAAAACACAACGGCAGGACTTTTCCGAAGGTGGCGGGTGGCAGGTGGCCCCGGGCAGGTTGCAGGTGGCGGGTGACGGGTGGCGGGTGGCAGGTAGCGGATGGTGGGTAACAGGTGGAGGGTGGCGTGTGACGGGTGACGGGTGGCTAGTGACTGGTGGGAAAGAATCGAAATACTGCAACTTAAAAACGAAAATAAGAGATCAAAAGTGGCAGACACGTTTTTGTAGAATAACTAAATTTTTGCTAATTTGGTTCACGTTTCCCGACTTGTAGTTTAAAATTTACAAAATGTTCATTTCGAGAAAACAATGAGATATAATTTTTGCGTCATCTTCCCTATAACGAGACTGCAGCAGATAATAACACCAAAACGGCTGTAAATGTTGATGGGTACCAGTGAAGGAGCTGTCAGCATGGTGGGGATGGACAAATGATGGACAAAATGGACAAATGATGGACAAATGATGGACATTATATTAAAACTCAGCCCTGTCCTGGATAAAAACATCCATCAATTCATGAAAAGCACGCTGGTGCTGATTGAAAACTGGTTAACTTTTACTAATGCGAGCGACCGCTGACATGATAAAAAAAGATATTGCGGAAGGGGGAACAATAACATACGGAGGGCTTGCACACTAGCCTGAATTTCATCCGATTACTTCGAGTCGTTATTACCTTATTATAGGAAATTAACGCTCCATGAAATTAAGGTATTGGAAATTAACGCGACTTAAATTAATGCGAATTTAATGGAAAACGACTTTCGAATAAAGAAAATTAACGCGAAACAGGAGGTAGAGTTTCATAATAAAGGAAATTAACGCGATTAAGACACAGTTGGTGGTGACAACTGGAACAAATTTATTTCAACACTGGTGCAAACAAATTCAAAACTGAACAAAACTAAGCTGACTCACTTTTGACAGCGACAACGATGAAGATGAACTCGAAATATTGTAAACCTTCGCCTTAGCTTTTGTGAAAGATGAAAAATAAAGGGTAAATGGAAAGAAAGAAAGCTTGTAGTTAACGTCAAGTTAGGTGTCAAGAATGTCTGGACTGGTTCCAAAATTGTAGCCTGAGTATCAGGCCTTCCTAAGGGACGCCTGATACTCAGGCTACCAAAATTGGGGTTAAAATACTGGAAATTAAGAGCGCGAAAATTAACGCTGCACTTAATTAACGTCGCGGAAATTAACGCTCAACAAAATTAACGCGACTTAAATTAACGCGAATTTTAACGATTCGCGTTAATTTCATGGAGCGTTAATTTCCTATAATAAGGTACTCCGTCTGTAACTTGAGAGGAGAAAACGACTCGAAGCAATCGGATGAATTTCAGGCTACTCGGACACAAGTGATCCAAGTATTTGACGTACCTACTCTAGCAATAGTTAACCGCCAACATAATACCGTGGGCTCATAATAGGAAACATGTGTTGTCAAAATGGCGGCGTCCATAAGGCCTTTTCATTCGAAAAGAAAAAATGATGTACAAATCAGATGAAAAAACCCTCTGAATATACATAACGTAAATAATATGAAACGATCTCAGCCAGAGACGTCAGGGGGTCCCCCGGCGAAGAAACATGTGTCCACAAAAATTATTCCAGCGGAAAACATTGGAGCTGTTGCAAATGAGGTGAGTTGACACAAGAAACCGCTATGTTCACTGGTTTGTTAAGACTAAATATACTTTTTCAAGTTCGTAAATGCACCTTTAAAGCTCTGTTACTTGTTACGTGTTAGCTATACAGTAGCAACATATTTTTGAATGAGTCGAGATTAACCAACAATAATTCAATTTCAGCAATTTTTGCAGGTTTGAATAATTCCAGGCGTAGTTAATCGATGGAAATCAATCTATATAATCGATATTAATCGACATGATCCGCCGATTGTTATCAATTGATATCGGAAATCAAAGTCAAAGAAAAAAAATTTATTAATCATTATCAATTAAAGAAAATCAATAACAACCCATAATAAACAATATTATTGGATGAGATTTTTGTGATATTTGGAATAATCAAGGTGGAGGTTAGTGTTATCAGTTGAGCCGAGGGCTGAGTTTGATAACACTCACCAAGACCTTGATTATTTAGGATATCACAAAAAGCGAATCTAATAATAATTAACAATTATTGTTTTATTGTACATTGTTTTGAAGAAAATGTTGACAAACACGCAAGGAACCTGGATTGATTTTGTTATTGGAAATCATGCATTGCACAAATGCAACCTACAGCGTAGTCAGTTATCTGCTAGCAGATGACTAACTGATCTGTATGTTGTGCTGATTTCCAAAATTAGCTGTAGGCTCTTAGCCAATGAAAAGACAGATAGTGAGTTCAATGAATAATAATAAAAGTAATCATCGATAACAAGCAATAATCCTGGGGAGTATATGGTTCAGGCATTCTGAGCAAGATGATGCCATTCGGGAAACAACACCAATAAGAGCAGCTTTAGTTCAACACATCATGCTACTCCTGGCATAGTCTTCATTGTGTTCCATTTGTTGTTTCTTTGGTTTACTGATTGCTGATTATTGTTTTGCTACTGGATTATTCTCTTTTTCTTGTTGATTTTAGGATTTATCCTAACATTCCTTTCATTACGCGACTCATTGAAATCACAAGAACACTGATATCTGATTTAGTATTTTATCAATTTAAAGAACTACATACTATTGTGACTCAATAATGGCTCAGTCAATTCCAAGTGTGTCCATTATCCCCCCCCCCTCTTCCTCCCCCCTTCCCCTGGGCATTTGTCAGGCATTAATTTTGTCATCTTGTTGGTGCTGGCAGTGGGGATTTGTCAGAAAACCTATACCTTTAATACTTATGCTTTAAAAAGATATGAGTGGTTTTCACTACATCACTCCACTACCCCACAGTATTTTTTAATAATAATAATATTTATTGCTTATAGCGCGCAAATTAACATTCGAATATGATCAAATGCGCGTTACATCCAAGATACCTAGAAACTATAAACAAAAGCAAAAGAAAACTATATACATCATATAAAAACTAAAAATACATCATAAAAAACTAAATTACATCATATTAAAAATAAGATAATGAGCAACTAAATTAGATAAAATTAACAGAAAGCCATACGAAACAAAAAAGTCTTAACCTTAGTTTTAAAAGTGTTAAAACATGTCTCGTGACTGATTTCACGAGGGAGTGAATTAAAAAGCCTGGGGGCTGCCACGGCAAATGCCCTGTCACCTAGCGTTTTCTTGGTTTTACCATTGTATGGTTCCAATAGTATCTCATTGTTTCGACGAAGCAAATATTTGCTAGGGCATAAAATGTTAACTAAATTACTAATATAATTAGGAGCTAGGCCATTAATAGCTTTAAAAATTAAAATTAACATTTTAAATTGTACTCTCTGTTTTATGGGAAGCCAGTGAAGGGAGCGGAGCACCGGAGTTATGTGAGAAAACTTTGCTGTTCCAGTTATAAGCCGGGCTGCTGCGTTTTGAACTCGCTGAAGTTTGTTTAAAGAGTTGTC